CATCCTCATTCACGGGCAGATGTACGAAGACCGCGACGACCTGCCCACACCGCGGCGAGGGGACCTGCCCTGGATATCCTCCAAACCCGACATAAACTCACCGGAGTGGGACCAAGCTCGCAAGGTCCGGCAAGCCATGAATCACGCCATAGACCGGGACTTGCTGGTTGAGACCCTGCTACAGGGCCGGGGCGAATCACTCCACATTTACGGCTGGCTCGGCCACGAGCCCCGCATGGGCTACCTGGCCGACCTGAAGTACGAGTACGACCCTGACTTGTCCCGGCAGTTGCTTTCCGAGGCAGGCTACCCTGACGGGTTTGAGGTCAACCTGGCGCTGACCAACCGCCCTTACCCGGGAACCATTGAGACTGCGGAGGCGGTAGCCACCATGTGGGAAGACGTAGGGATCCGGACAGTACAGAGCCGTCAGCCCATGTCCTCTTTCCGCGCCCTGTTTCCCGAACGGTCCTGGGAGGGCGTGAACAGTCATGGGACTTCCCCCGCGCCCGAACCCATAGCCCTGTTTAATAGTTTCCGCCCCACCAGCGTCATCAACTATGGTCTGGAACATCCGATTATGACGGAATACTACGATCGGGGCATCGCAATCATTGATGAGGAGGAGCGGTTCGAGATTGCCAGGGAAATGGCCAAGTTCCTTTTTGACCACGCCGTCATCATTCCCACGGCCAGCGTCTTCCAGGTGTGGCCGGTGGGGCCCAACATTGACGAGTGGGAACTGGTGTGTTGTGTGACCCGCGTTCCCTCCAACGTCGAATACATACCCCATCGCCAGTAGGAAAAGGTACGAAATTAGCGGCGATGCCCTAAACCAGGCATCGCCGCTTTGTACCAGCCATCCTGCAGGCCACCCTTGGCACAATGGAGCCAACTCGGCTCTCAACAAAAATCGGGAGGAATTCATGGCATTCAGGTCGTTCAGGAAAACCGCACTATTCGGTGTAATCGCACTCGCCCTTGCCTTGGTGGTCGCCTGTGGAGCCGCCGAGGAGACGGTTCCCGAGCCGGAACCGGCGTCACAGCCGCAGGCCCAGGCTCAGACCCAACCATCCGCTCCTTCCGAACCGGCGGCAGCCCCGGCAGCCGAAAGTTCAGCGCCGGCCGCCGAGCCTACCGGTTCTTCCCAGCTGGCAACCAGCCAAAGTGCCCCGGCACCAACCGCAGCGCCCAGGCCGGCGGGCAGGTCAACGCTGGTGCCCACGCCAACGCCAGCGCCGGTGGTAGAGGTTATGGAAGAGACGCCAACGGCGGGAGTCCTCAACATCGGCTACTCCCAGTTGGGTCCGCCCAAGTTCATCCCCAAGCTCAGTGGTTCCCCACAAACCTCTATAAACATATCCGTCCTTTGGGAGTCCATGTGGCACAGCGACTCCAATGGTAATGTAATACCGCGCCTGGTCAAAGAATGGAGCGTTTCCGACGACGGCAACGTATGGACCCTGCACCTGGAAGAGAACATACCCTTCCATAAGGGCAAGGGGAACATGACGGCACAGGACATGATCTGGTCTATGGACAACATCGTGTCTGAAGGTACGGTGTCGGGCCGGTTGGCCCAACGCCAGACCATTTTCTACGCCGAGGGCGGCGGCATGACCGCCGTTGACGATCACACTCTGCAGGTTGATACCACCGCCAACGGACCAAGGTTCGACCTGACCTGGTATTCAACCTCGGCCCTGCTGACTGGCGCCCTGCCGATAATGAGCCAGGCGCATTTTGAATCGCTGGGCGAGGAAAGGGCCGGCGTGGAAGACCCCATTGGCACCGGACCCTGGCAGCACGTGGAGCACAAGACATCGGAAGTGTGGAAACTGGAAGCCGTTCAGGACCACTGGCGCAAGACGCCCAACTTTGCCGAACTGAACATCTGGGAGATCGCCGAAGAATCCACCCGCATTGCAAATTTCCAGGCCGGCAAGATGGACAGCATCCACATGAGCCTGGAATCGCTGCCAGTGCTCGAACAGGTTGAAGGAGTAAAGTTCCTGCGGCTGCCCGGTGGTGGTCAAACCCACATCAATATTCACGGCCAGATGTACATCGACCGGCCCGACCTGGGTACGCCCCGTAACTCATCCCTGCCGTGGATTTCCTCCAACCCCGATCTCAACTCGGTTGAGTGGGAACAAGCCCGCAAGGTGCGGGAAGCCATGTCCATTGCCATTGACCGCGAACTGATTGTCGAGACATTGCTCGGCGGCGCCGGGGAGGTAAACTCCACTTTCGGGTGGATGGGGCATGAAGCCCGGCTGAACGAACTCCAGGACACCCTGGTTTACGAGTACAACCCCGAGCGAGCCAAGCAACTGCTGGAAGAGGCCGGGTACGGTGATGGCTTCGACATCGTCATGGCCCTGACCACCCGTCCCTTCCCGGGAACGGTGCAAATGGGAGAAGTTGCCTGCGTAATGTGGGAGGAAATTGGAATCCGGTGCGCCCAGGAACGCAGCCAGATGTCGGCCTTCCGGCCCAAATTCGTGGACCGGTCCCACGAGGGCGTGAACACCCACGGCGTGGGGCCCCTCCCGGAGCCTTTGGTAACGTATTCTTCCTCTCTGGTCGCCGCCGGAGTTATCAACTACGGCATTGAGCACCCCTGGCTAGACGCCAAGATTGCCGAGGCCATGGAGACCTTTGATGACGAGCAGCGGTTTGCCCTCCAGCGGGAAGTGGCGCAGTGGGTTTTCGACAACGCGGTAATCCTGCCCATGTACAAGGTAAATTGGATCTTCCCGCTGGGACCCAACGTAGATACTTGGGAGATGGCCTGCTGCGACGCCCGCGTCCTCTTTGACCTGGAGTACGCGCCGCACCGGAGGTAATGAGCCTTGCAACGTTTCCTGCTCCGTCGGCTGCTGCTTACGATAGTCACCCTGTGGCTGGTGTCCGTGCTTATCTTTTTCATGGCCCGGTTATCCGGAGATCCGACCACACTGCTGATTGACGACTACGCCAGCGCCAGCACCCTGGAAGACCTGCGAGTGTCCCTGGGCCTGGACAAGTCTTATCCGGAACAATACTGGATATTCCTGAAAAACGCGGTACAGGGGGACTTCGGCGTATCCATTGTGCAAAAACAGCCGGTGGGCAGGCTGATAATGGAGCGACTGCCGGCTACGCTCTACCTGGGTCTGGTGGCTTTTGCCTTCTCGCTGCTGGCCGGCATACCTTTGGGGGTGCTGTCGTCTCTCAAGCGGGGCAGCATCATGGATCAGGTGGGCAAGGGCGTCGCCCTGATCGGGCAGTCGGCTCCGCCCTTCTGGATCGGTATCATGCTGATGTTCTTCTTTGCCGTTCGGCTGGGGTGGGTTGCGCCATCGGGAAGGGAGGAGACCAGCAGCATCATCCTGCCAGCCATTACCCTGGGCTGGTTCAACGTGGCAGCCAACCTGCGCCTGATGCGATCGGCCATGCTGGACGTAATGGACACCGAGTACATCAAGCTGGCCCGTGCCAAGGGAGTATCCCAGAACCTGGTCGTGTGGAAACACGGCCTTCGGAATGCCCTGATACCGCCCCTGACCTTCGCCGGCATTACCCTGGGCGCACTAATAACCGGATCGCTGGTGGCGGAGACAGTGTTTGCCTGGCCGGGACTGGGACAACTGGCTTTCCTCGCGGTCAGGGACTCGGACTACCCGCTGTTGCAGGGGGTGGTTATTACCTTTGCTGCCGCCTATTTGGGAACCGCATTCCTGGTTGATATCCTCTACGCCTACGTGGACCCCCGGATCCGGTTCGCATAGAAACCTCGGAGGAAAGAATGGTCGAAAACGCTTCCCAGGCAGTGCTGGCTCCCGCGCCGGACCGGGTCAGCCTGCCCAAAATCTGGAGAACCGTCAAGCGGTGGCCACTGATACCGTTGGTGCTGCTGATGCTGGTGGTGGTCTCCGGGGTTATGGCGCCCTGGATCGCCCCCGAAAACCCGCGCAAGGGCGACCTCCGGGCACGAATGGCACCGCCGGTGTGGCTGGAAGGGGGCAGTTCGGCGCATTTGCTGGGCACCGACCACCTGGGCAGAGACATTCTCAGCCGCATTATTCACGGTGCGCGCATATCCCTTATTGTGGCCGGCGTCACCCTCGGACTTGGGGGCACCACCGGTACAGTATTGGGTCTGCTGGCAGGCTGGTACGGCAAGTGGATCGACGAAATCATAATGCGCATAGTGGACATTGCGTTGGCAATTCCCTTAGTGCTGGTGGCCCTGGTAATGGTGGTGGGCGTTGGGCAATCATTCCCATCGGAACTGGGAGGCCAAACCGGCCTCATCGTTCTGGTGCTGGCCAGCTTCTTCTGGGTACGCTTCGCCCGCCTGATCCGCGGTGAGGTGTTGCAGCTTAAGACGCTGGACTACGTTGCCCTGGCCAAGGTGGCAGGGGCTTCCACACCCAGAATTCTGTTTGTCCACATATTCCCGGGCGTAATCAACACCCTGATCGTGCTGTCCACGTTGCAGGTGGGATTTGTAATCCTGGTGGAATCCACCCTCAGCTTCCTGGGGGCCGGTGTTCCTCCGCCCACGCCGGCCTGGGGCTCCATGGTCGCCGAGGGACGCGATTTTCTGGCCGGAGCCTGGTGGATTGCAACAATGCCGGGCCTGGCCATTCTGCTGACGGTAATGTCGCTGAACCTGTTTGGGGATTGGCTGCGAGACACCCTGGACCCGAGACTACGGCAGTGCATCTAACTTAGCAGCCTACCGATCTGCAGTTGGCAATCAACCTAGAGCTATCCCAGCTTGTTGACTTAAAATGGCTCCTCTAGGGCTTGCCTAGAGGAGCCAGCACTTTGTGTCCTGAACGAAATACAGCTAATCTCGAACCCTTCCGCACTCTCGCAATCTGCACCGGAAACGGAGCCAGTTCCCAGATAGCCCAAGGCTGGCCTGAAACCACTTTGGCAGTGAGTTGGTACAGGTCAAGAGCGCAGGAACCCATCCAAAGGGTGTCCACCCCGTGGCGGTACAAGTGATGGCCGAGGTCGAAATTGACCTGTCCTCAGATACATCAGATCATGTTGACCGCTACCTGGGAGACGATTTTGACCTGGTGCTGACGGTTTGCGATGCAGCCAGTGGGAGTTGTCCTGTCTTCCCGGTGGCGAAGCGGCAACTGCACCACGACTTCGAGGACCCGGACAAGCCTGGGATAAGCGACGAGGAACCGCTGCCGGTGTTCCGACAAGTGAGAGACGAGATTAGGGTGTATTGCCGGTGCTTTCTGAGTGCAGAGGTCGGCATCAACCTCTAAGGCTGTTTCCGACGCAAAAAGCTAATTCGGCAAAACGCTTGCGAGTCTTGGAGCCCCGTTGCCCTCAGGGAACACTCCCACCCAGGCTCAGGATAAGCGGTCTCTCAAGTATTGACCCTCATTCCACTTGTGGCAGATATCCCCCTCACCAAGGCCAACGCTCCTTTAGTCCGCTGGCGCGGCGGCGGGTGTCGCGCTGGGGCCCACCTCAGTCTCTTCCGGTTCCTGGATTTCCTCAGCTTCCCCTACTTCAGGAGCAGGTTCGTCCTCAAGTGACGCTTCCGCCTCTCGTTCCGCAGCGGACTGTGCCAGTACCCGTCTTCGCCACGCAATTGCCCCCATAAAGTAACCCCAGATCAGGCGCAGGGCAAATTCCAGGGCCACCAGGAAGACAAAGTAGTAAAAGATAGCCTCCCTCTGATTGTTGGCGTCCTGCAGCATCGCCAGCGAGTCTTCGATGGTGAAGAAGGAGGCGTCGATGATGAAGATACCCAGGACTGCGAAGGGAAGAATCTTTGCCAAGTCTCGGGACAGGTCTTCGTGGTAGTAGGCAGCCAGTCGAATGGCGCTGACGGTGGCCAAGGCTACCAGCAGTACTTCAGAAAAAGCTCGGTCCTTCGAAAGAAGAGCGAGGATGATGGTAAGCACTGCAAACCAGAAGAAAGCAAACACGGGGAACACTACGATGTACTTGACCACGTACATCACCAATTGAAGGAAAACCCTGATTGCCTTGAACTGCGACTCCTCGTAGCGGGAAAGATCGACCCTGAACATGTCTCGCGACGACAGGAAGCGGTAAAAGTGGAAGATGAAGATGGCATACACACCAATACCGGCGATGTATATGCCCACGTTGCGGACCATTTCCAGGCCTTCGTTGAGATTGAGGCCGTTGGGGAATACCAGGTTGAGGTAGGCTTCGAAGTTCATGGCGTTTAGCCTCACCCTTCCGGCCTGGACGGACCGGCTTCAGGTTTGTGTGATGTCGGTATTCATATCTATGTTATGTATACCAAGGTACTGCGTCAACCCAGAAGCCGGTTTTCTGAAGGAGATTCGGGATCCAGCACGGTCGCCTTCTGGCTACTTTGGGCGGTTGCCTTGTCCCAATTTGATAATTGCACGGGTTCAGATGGGAGCGTTCCACAGATTTCGGAAGGGCCCTTCCGCAGAAAGGTCCTTTGGCAAGCTTTGATTGAACGGGATTATGCTAAAAGGGCCAACGCGAACCTTTGAAGCAGAAAAGGACCCTGCGCGAAATGCCGGCGCAGGGTCCCTTGGTTGCAAGTCTTCAGCGGGGCGGCCTGTCTGAGAAAGTCGCCCTTCCTGATTGTGGTCAGCTGCCGGTTCGGATGTACTGGATATTGCGAGCCTGCTCGGTCAGGGCTGCGAACTCGGATACGGCCGAGTCGTGGCGCAGCAAGCGGGATATGCGCCATGCCTCCTTGGAGATCTGGTCCAGGCTGCCCTCGCGGGCCCAGTAACTGCCCCGCAGCACCTCGGCGTATTCGGCCACCACGGCAGCAAGCTGGAAGCGGGGCGAAGCGTCTTCGAAGCGTCCGGCAAAACTGCTGAATTCGAGCCACTGGGATAGCTCGGTTATCCGTCCGGTGTCCGGGTCCTCGTAGCGCAGGTAAACGGTGCCCACCGAACCTGAGGAACCCTCGTGCAGCTTCACTTCATAAAGGGCGGTGACGCTGTGACCGGCCCCCACTTCACCGGCATCCACCGCGTCGTTACGGAAGTCCTGGTCAGCCACCTCGCGATTCTCGTAGCCCAGGAGGCGATAGCTCTGGACCACTCCGGGGTTGAACTCCACCTGGACCTTGGCGTCCTTGGCGATGTTCTGAATGGTGCCCGTCAGGTTTTCCACGAAGAGGGTGCGTGCCTCGTCCAGGTTATCCACATAGTAGTAGGCGCCGTCGCCGTCGTTGGCCAGCTGCTCCATCAGTGTGTCGTTGTAGTTGCCCATGCCGAATCCAACAGTGGTCAGGGTTACCCCCTGCTCAACCTCGTCGCGGATCTGGCGAAGGATCGCATCGGAGCCGGTAGCTCCCACGTTGCCCACACCGTCGGACAGGAGGATGACCCGAGTGATGCGGCCCGGTCGGACGCTGCGCTCGGCCATGTCATAGGCCAGCCTCAAGCCTTCTTCTACGTAGGTAGAACCGCCGGGCTGGAGCCGGTTGATGGCGTCCTGGATAGCCCCACTCTCACCAACGTCGGTGGGATAGAGCAGGACGTGGCCGCGGGAACCATAGATTACTATGCCAACTTCATCCCTGGGGCCCAACTGGTTGACCAGCAAACGGAGGGACCGCTTGACCAGGCCCAGGCGGTTTTCCTGGCCCATGGAGCCGGAAACGTCGATGGCGAAGATTAGGGTGGCGTCCTTGCGGGCCCAGTCGGCAATTTCGCGGCCCTGCAGACCCACCCGGAGCAGCCAGTGGCGGTCGGCGCCGAAGGGTGAAGGGAAGGCCTCCATGTCAATGGCAAAGGCATGCCGTTGTGGCGGTTCATAGCCCATGTCAAAGTAGTTGACAAACTCTTCGACGCGCACCGAGTCAGGGTCGGGCAGATTGCCGTCCTGAATGAACCGGCGAGCCACCGAGTAGGAGGCGGTGTCCACGTCCATTGCAAAGGTAGACAGGTTGTCGTCCTCGGTGTCGATGAAGGGATTGACGCCCGAATGCTGGAAGAAGGTCAGATCATAGGGCGGGGTGTTGGGACTGCCTGGCCCGCCCGGCGGGGCGATGTTGGGCGGCAGAGGGGCGAGTGTTGGCCGCGCCAAGGGGAAAGACTGGCCAGAACCACTTGGGGCTTGCTGGGGCGCAGGGGCGGGAGTGAACTGGATTACCGGTTCGGAGGTGGGCGAGGCCATGGCTTGTGGCGCAGCGGTCGCGGAAACGGATCTCTCCGCTATCACTTCGACCGGCACCTCCTTCATCACCTCCACTTCCCTTTCGACCTCAACCAGCACCTCCACTTCCTTTATGACCTCAACTGGCACCTCCCTTTCCACAATTACTTCCCTCACTACAGTAGAGGACTGGGGCTCTGCAGCAGGCTCACTACCGGCACCGGCGGCGCCAGAAGCACCGGCGGCTCCAGGGGGTCCTGATGGGCCATAATCAACGGCGGGAGCGGAAGCCGGTTCGTCCACAGAAGCTCCACACGCCACGACTGATGCCACCAGTGCTATACCAGCGATAACCAAAAACAGTCTCCTGAACATTTCCTTGTCTCCTGCTTGTCGGTGTATCGACCGGCGGACAACCTGCTTTTCTTGCCACTTGGTACCCGTCGGCGACCGCTGGTAGGATAGGTTTCAAACCTGTACACTCCCAACTTCAACAATGTAACATTGGCCGAAATTATGGTAGCAGAGTTGTAACACTTGCCGAACTTTGGCGAACTATTGACTGAATACATGGAGCGGACGGGCATCGGCGACGCCGAGTTGGCCCGCCGCGTCCAGGTCAGCCGGCCCACCCTGCTCCGGTGGAAAGAAGGGATAACCACCCGGCCAAGATACCGGGAAGACGTGCTCCGTTGCGCTGAAATCCTGCGCCTTACCCCGGAAGAGACAGACGAACTGCTGCTGGCCACCGGCTATCCGCCGGAACATGACACGGTCTCCGCTGGCTGGAGGAAACGGAAGAGCCTGCGGAATTTGGCGAAGAACCGGAAGAGAACTTGCCGGTACCGACCCGAACCGGGCCAGGCACTCTGGTGATCGCTCCAGCCGGCACCGGGGCACTGGCGCTGGAAAGAACCCCGCCCTACGGCAGGATGGAGATCCGGCACCTGCATATTTCCTGGTTGGGGCTGGCGCTGATTGTGGTGGGGCTGGGTCTGCTCGCGGCGATTGCCGTCGCGTTGGTGTTCAATCTTGTAAGCAACGGTAGGGACTACCCTGCTGCCGCACCAGGAGAGACGTTCATTGTCGTGGCGCCCTTTGCCAACTACACCGGCGGCGGGCACGGCTTCAACGTGGCCGGACGGCTGAAGGGCGCCATTGACGCGGAAGTGCTGGAGGTGGGACTGAGCGGTGTCCGCTCGGCGCGCTGGCCGGAAGTTCTGGAAGACGAGGAAGCCGCCCGAAAGGCCAGCGACCGCTCCGGCGCAACCCTGGTGGTATGGGGGGAATATGACAGCGGCCGTGTCATTGCCCGGTTTGCCGCACCCGCCTACCGGTCCGCCGGCCACGACCAGCAAGTGGTTGACATCCCTTCTTCTCCCGCAGAGCTTACCTCCAGCATCAACATCGGGTTGGTCGAGGAGGTGCGATACATCGCCTTGCTAACCCTGGGCCAGATTTACCTGGAGCAGCAACAGCACGACCGGGCCAAGACGATTCTGCTGAGAGCCCTTGCCAGTGTGCCGCCGGGGGACAAATCGTTGCCCAATATCAGATTCCTGCTGGGCCGAGCCTACCTGGGAGGCGACCTTGCCGACTTTGATGAGGCAATCTGGCTGTTTACCCAGGTGCTGGTCGCCCAACCCACTTCGGTGGAAGCACTGAACAGCAGGGGCCTGGCGTACCTGGAACGGGGCCGGCACAGGGATACCACCAGGGCCATAGCCGACCTGACCAATGCCAGGTCGATTGAGCCGGACAGGGCGGCTACAGAGTTAAACCTGGCTGTTGCCTACGTCGAACGTAACGGGCGGAGTGACGTAGACCGCGCGCTGGCCAGCCTGGAGAGGGCCCTGCGGAACAACCCTGAATATGCCGGCGCCCACGTTAACCGTGCGGGGATTTACAGTGTCAGAGGAGAACGGGGAGACCTGGAACTGGCATTCGAAGACCTGGACAGGGCGTTGGAACTGGACCCTGGGCTGGCCAGCGCCTATGTTGGGCGGGCCATTGCTTTCCTGGCACGGGGGCAGCAGGGAGACATGGAACTGGCGTTGGCGGAATTGAGCCGAGGTATAGACCTGCGACCCGATCTGACGTCAGCTTACTTCAGCCGGGGCCTGATTTACTCGGAACT